TGCATCTCTCTTTCCCCATAATCCTCAGTTTATTGGGAGGCAAGTTGCCACATTCCACAATCAACGGGACTATATCTTCTTCAGATTTCATAGGTGAGGAAGGTACTTTAACTCCTTAGACTTTGACTTAAATCATGAAATATATTTTCAATGTAAACATGTTTTCTAATGTATTGTGACAAGTATTCTAGATGAGAAATAAATTATCTTTTGAACTCTATCACGTTAAAGAAATTACATTTGATTCATTCAGACTGTTTTCCCTTAATTCTTTCATTTATCTTTGAAGGTACATATTCAAGAGTGAAAAGAAAGTGGGAATTCAGGAACTTGGACCACGTTTTACCTTAAAATTAAGATCTCTTCAGAAAGGAGCCTTTGATTCTAAATATGGAGAGTATGAATGGGTCCATAAGGTATGTGCCTTATTTCAAAAGCCATTTAGATTATTTTAAAAGAATGGAATGAGGAGGAAACCATGTACTTTATGCTTTGAGTGCTTATATCTCAAGCTATGCTCCTGACCTCCATAAGCTTGAAAAAACCAATCTCTAACAGGGTATTTTGCGCTGGTGATGAACCCTGGTTCATTTGAATTATCCTAAAGATCAGTGGTCCTCAAAGTGGACCAGCAGCATCACCTAGGAATCTGTTAGGAAGGCAAATTGTTGGCCCACAGACCTACCAAATCAGCATCTTAGGGAGTGGGGCCCAGCACTCCATTTATAAGCCAGTGTTACGATTCTGCTGTATGTTTGAAACTTTTGCTATAGAGGTTTTGTAAAGTTTGTAGATTTTAAATCAGAAATGAAAACTTCAATATTTTAAAACCCGTCTCTTTTCTAGTAAGCAATAGTTCACTTAGGTATTTTTACTTCAGAATTTTACATGTATATTATACACCTACATATTAGAACAGTAACTTCTAATACCTTTATTAGACCTAGACTATTCAGTCTCTGAAATGGACCCAAAAGGGTTTTTTTTTTTTTAAGCATTGTTACCTATAAATTTTACTTTTTTTTCCTAATTTTCAGCCCCGGGAAATGGATACAAGTAGAAAAAAATTCCATTTATAAAATA